AGATAGTATTATTTGTTCAGTTCATGTTGTGGTGAGAGTCAAGATACTCCAATTTCCCTACCTTTCAGATCCTTTCATATACCTCAACTTGTGAAATCTCTACCCTTTTATATACCTGAAGCCTGAAAAAGGTACCCCTCTCGGGCGGGGCCTCCCCGTATAGGCCATTAAAGGGATTACCCCCCCCCCCCTCCTTTCGGGTCATAGGTAAAACGGCCAGAAACGTTGAATACGGGAAGTCTTGCTCGCGGTCAAACGTTTCAATTACTGTGGTTTATTTTTATTTCGTCGGATTGCACTCTCACTGGGCAAGTAAAAGCATGAGTAAGGTTATAAAATAGCTGCTGACAGTAAAGATGTTTTCATTTCCCTCAAGTTAAGGAGTTTCTGTAACCTTAAAATGCTCTGCAGGTGCGCATTCGAAGCCGAATAAAATGATTGTTTCGTCCAGTGGCCCCGACCAGTCTGTATTGCCCTGTTGCCTAACACTTCTAATTATTTCAGTTAAGTTCCAAAAATAAATGGCACTAAATCAGCAGGATACTGGTTAAGTAGCTAGCTTTGAATAGTGGAAACAGCAGCTCTGTCTTTGAAATGTTTCTTTTTTTTTGCCGGTGGGGTCAACGTAAAATCCCGATCATATATAAACCCCACACCTGTTACGTTTATCTTGGGGCTCATTCTTTCAGAAGGGTTAAGGTTTCAGGTTGCGTGAGATCATTGGAAACAGTGTCCGGTCCGATATTTAGAAAATATTGGACCGGTAATAAAACAGTCTGATTGACTGATACTAGTTATCGGTCCTCGAAACTTAGTTAGTCGTGTAATAAGTTAATCGATTGCATTTACTCCCGCATTTACTATCGGGCATATCAGCACGCTTTCTCTTACACATTGATTGCGCTTTGGAAACGTAACCAAGTAAAATAGGCAGCTTTCTTTTCTCAAGTTTTGGTAATTGACACGGTCTTTCGCTCGATTCCTTTAGTAGTTTGACTCAAATCTCCCTCGTTAGATAACTTGACACTCACTGTTTACAGGAAACAGATATCTTATAATGAAGTATTCACTTTGTGTAGATGGTCCCAATATATTTTATGACCCTTTGACGCATGTCAACAAACCTTGTTTGTCGGCTTGGCGTAAGTACTTAGGGCGGTAACAAATTTTTTTCGTTAGTTTGTTCAGAACAATTCAGTGCCGCAAAAGTAACTTGCAATGGCCGAAATTGTTTAAACTTTTGAGGTATAGAAGATTACGCGAGTCGGTAAGTCTTATTTCACTCTGAATAACGTAACTTAGATATCTAAATTTAGCTTAGAAGAGACGGTTAAGCAATGTACGTTTTCTTTTTTTTTTTGCCTCTTATTGAAAACATCATTCAATATTTTGAGTGAGTAAACTGACGCTTCTAATATTAATGAAAGTGCTTTCAGAGAACAAACAAGTTAAAGAACCATATTTGTCCAGACTTGTATCAATGTTGACTTACACCTCGATTGATTACTCAATTAAGCCCAGAGCATATTTCTGGAGAATCGTTACTTTATCTGACTCATGGCCAACGTAATATTAATCACTAAAAGATGTACTATGGCGACTTATTCTTAATTATTATTCTTAAAGCAAACTAAACCTCGGTGCATATATTGATGAAAGCTCAAAAGATTAAAGAAGCTCAAATTATGCATATATTGTCAGAATCGTTAGTTTATTTGGATACCTCATTGGCACCGTAATATCAATCGCTAAAACAGTTTATTGTACTATGGCGACTTCGTTCTAAATTATTATCCTGAAAGCAAACCAAACTCGATGCACATATATTGAAGAAAAAAGATTAAAGAAGTTTGGTGGGTATATTGTCAGAGTCCTAAGGCGACTTCGTTCTAAATTGCTATCCTTAAAGCAAAAGAAAGGTCAAGAAACTCTTAACATACTTTCACAAGTAATTCCAAAATGCAATACAAGAAAGTTATTGTAAAATTTTCTGCGATAAGGTGAGCGAAGGAAGAGGGTAAATTTCTAACCGGAAATTAAACTTGGTCCACCGGGTTGAGAGAAGAACGAAGTATAATTTATAGAGGATATGGAACAAGCAAGGAACAAATATGGCTTCCCCGAAAACCTCATACGTCACGACCTACGCATGCGTGATGTGGAGCAGACCATAAGAGGTCGGGAATGAAATTTTGTCACATCATTGGAGGAGTAGTTCTTGTTTGTCTGAAAGAACGCTAACATAGAAGGAAATTGACTGTAACCGCGATACAAATTTTACGCCAAATTAAATTGTTTTCTATTTCAGTTAAATAGAGGAAATAAACAAACAATAAAGAATTTTGAGTTGTCGATTGAACGATAAAGCATTTTATTAGACGTTTATTACTTAATTGATTGCGTTGTAGTCCTGTTCATAATGCGATATAGCTATGGCATTGAGAATATTGGCACGCGCTTAAGTCATTAACGTCACATGGAGCATAGTTGACTTCCCCTCTCGAAACCTCCGTCCGAATGACCGGACGTTTTTAAATGTTGAGTTAACTCTTCACGGAACCGATTCCTCGTTTTATTCTTATATTGATCAATAAATTTTCCTGATGTCCTGTGGTTTCTAGCTCCAAACCGCGCCCTTAAGTCAGTTGTCGAAACAAAAATTTCGCTCAAGCACTTACTTACTGCAGGTGGCTCAATATATATTTTTAGTGACGCAATTTATGCAGACACGCTCTGTTGATAGATAATGTATGCACTCTAACATCAGCCTGGAAACGTGACTGAGTAATTTTCGATAGTTTGTATCAAACATTTTGCGGCCCTAATGCGAATGGTCGACGTTTCTTGCAATAGCTAGGTAAAGGTTGAGTCTGCATACGAGCCAAGTAGCCCATTAGGCCGGAGCTTATCCCGGGTTCTGTAGCAGTGAGACCAGAGTTCAAATCTTCTGAATTCAAATCTTCTGAGATATAGATAATGCGAAAGGGTAAGTCTATATAACGTCACGAAAAACAAATTGATTAATCCGGCGTCAAATGTTTTGCGTGTTAAGTTTATTGCTGCCCAGATTTATAACACTGAGTGATTTTGTTTTTGTTTGTTCAATACTACTAGCAGACGTAAGCAGTAAAAAGTCCTTGTTATTCGCTATTGCTTGTGTTACGGATAGAATGTAAAAAACACACTTGTTCAAACTTTTCTTAACGTCAACTTAATGCTATTACTAATAAAAGCAAAATAAACTTGGTGCAAACAATTTCAAAAGGCTGCACGAGGCACAATGATTCGTAAACATCCGAAAGAAAATTTAATTTTTAAGCCTGTGGCTAAACTTTGCGTTTTTGGATTTAATTTTTAAGGTGTAGGTCGACTGTCTATGGATAGGTAACAATCAGATACGTGAGAGGGTTTACGCGAATCCTGTGATAAAACTCTTGAAAACCACGTACCACGGATTACGTAGTTTTTGAACTGTTTTATTTTCAATATTGTATAACTGATCCTCGAACCCTTGTGTGATGAGAAAACCACAACGCCTCCCACCAAACACGAGCTTTGTTCGCCGAGATGTTTTGATCATTGTCTGGGTAAAAAATACTTCCCAGGAATACGCGCCCATTCATTGGCTGCATGTTCGTGAAAAGCTTTTATGCGACTCGGCGAAACAAAGCAGGTATTTAATTTGTATTGTTTTCGACGCAAAAGACAATATTATAATCTCTATAAGGCTCTCATTTGCTATTTATGGCTGAAGCGTTCTTTTCCAATTAATGCAAAAAGTGAACTGAAAGAGTTGACAACGTATTGTGTCGCAACACGCTCGTTGAAGTCAAGAGCTGCATCGCAAACTGAAACACGTCGTGAATGAAACTTTGCAGGAATATGGTCAGTGTTTGAGATCTTTTAACATTTAGGTAGGTCTGTGCTTTGAGTTTTTTTCTTTTTATGATCTAAGGGGAAAAAGGAAATTAGGAGAATAAACCGCGGGTAAGTCAATTTTCGTCGCGCGAAATGTCCAGCTTTATTACAACGAAGGAAAATTGTGTTCATCGAATAATTTTTAGCTTTATTTAACGTATAGTCAGGTTTGCCAGTATATTTAGGACAAAGTGTTTGTGATTTCCTTTCTCAATGTGTTGATGTGGTTACAAAATCTTATATTTTGTCAGGAAACTTTTCAATTAGATAACAATTTTGAGAGAATCGGTTTCGAAAACGAACGAGTGCGGTTGAGACATTATTTTGTCAGAGTGTTTCTTTCTTCAGGAATTAAACTTATCTACGCTTTCATTGATTCCAGTCGCAGTATATCGTAGATTTTAAATAAATCTTTATTACCGATCTAAAGCGCTAGCGACAGCTTGCGATTTTTGTTATTTATTTTTCAAGTCTATACTAATAATCCTTTCAGATCGCAGTGTGAGTTTCTGTTGTGCACGTGCTGTGAGTCGACAGCTGTGATGCTTTGAAAATTTGAATATTTCCTTGTTCTTCCAGGTTGAAAACTAAAGCAACAATGTTTGCCCTGCGTAACATCCAATCCTTTCCAACACACCACAACTTCAAATTGATTTCTTTCCTAAGATCTTTTTAAGAATCTCTCTTTTTACAGTACGCATTTTTCGAATAATGTGTGTTTTTAAAGATTACTCAGCATTTCTGACCTTCCGAGAGTCGTAGAAAAGTCCTTCGCTCACTTCAAGCGATACACATCACTGCCCTGGCTTTGAATATCGGTGTTGAAGCTAAAACGGACGGTGAAGAGCTCCGGCGTTGAATCGAACTTAAGGCTTGAGCTGGATTCAATCCTACTTGTACGGTGGTCCAGTTTACCACGTAACAAACGGAACTTTTCCAAAACAAAGAAATTCACTCGTCCAAAATTTATATGCTGTTTTATTTTCAATCGGGGCTCTGCAAGCTTCTGCAGGTTCATGTTTTGAATTTGAAACATGTTAATTTTTCATAGTAAATGGTTTCTCGGTTACAACGCCTAAGATAAGCGATAAGTAATTTAGCCCAGGGGAATTGTTTTTAAACAATGCCAGTTTTTCCTGATAAGACTTCGCCGGGAATGAACTATAAAATGAAAGGTATTGAGATATCAAATATATCGTACACAAGAGAAAACAAATACTCCGGTATTCTATTTCAATAAAACTCAATAATTAGTTGACTACTGTAACTCGTTTTAAAGTTACCATTTATTGTTGACAATAGCACCGTGCATTTGCAATGTGTCTGAGTTTCAATAAGAAAATATGAAGGGACCAAATTCAGTAAACTGTTGATGTTGCATAGACAAAAAGCGGACCAAAATTTAAATTGAAAACAATTTGTTTTGATAATTGCGTTATAACCATCATTCCAATCAATAGGCATTTTACGTAAGAGTTGAATTTGCATTCTTAATAAATGTTTTAAGGTACAAGGTGATCGTTTCTCGCTAACAAACTATGGCTCGGACTTTGTGCCACACAAAAAAAACAAACTAAAAGGTTGATGAATTTGGTGTAGCATAGTTTATGCGCTATTGCATTCAGACTAAGACAACTTCCAGTGAGTAGCTTTCCACACGGAAGGCTGTTTTGGTTCTGTATATTCAATTTAACCCGTAGTCAACTTGCATGTACATCAGCGTTACTTGAAAGATTATACTCTTGACTGTTATTAAATTCTATCTCAGAATTCTTGGTACGAAAAACGCGCTAAAGTGAAGCAAAATTCAAAAGTGAAAAATGTGATAGCTGACGTAAACAAAAGACTGATCTCATCGCTATAGAATTCAATGTGAAACGCAAATAATCCAATAATTGTACGCGTGAATTAAGAAGAATTTAATTAGCATTTCCTGTGCATTCTGTGGCATGTAAAGATAATAATATACATTAAGCCAAGAAATTGAAAACATGTCTTTTACTCTAGATTGTTCTGAAGTTTGCCCGGTTAACTCGATGATGTCATTTGCTCAGTTCAAATTCGCCCTTGATGCGATGATACTAGCTAAGAAGACGGCGCTGTTCTTTTGTCCAGGGTCGCTGATTACCAGCTCGAAGTTCCTTTGTTAGGCCCCGTTCACACAACGCTGGAGGAAATTGAAAACGGCGTTTTCGCTCTGAAAACGGCGTTTTCGCTCTGAAAACGCATCAAATTTTCTCCATCCACACTACGCCAGAGAAATTTGAAATGCAACAGTCACCGGTCATTTTGGATTTGAGTTTGAGGAAAACTTGCGCAGCGAAATCACGTGATCATCGTGATGTCATGGTTTTCGAAAAGCTCCGTTTTCAAAACGTTTTTCCGTCCACACGAAAACTAAAAGCCGGCGTTTTCAAATTCCTCCGGTTTGAAGAGCGTTTTCGAAAAGCTCTGTTTTCTTGACGGATTAGTGTGGACGGTAGGTGTAACCGTAGAAATAAAGCTGCGTTTTCAAATTTCTCCGGCGTAGCGTGGACGCTACTTCACTGTTTTGTTCCGGGCAAAGATCTAACCCTAGATGAATCACGGACCACTAAATTAAAAAAAGGCCTTTTGCTTTTCTTGAATTAGGAATTGAAGATCGTGGTTGGATTTGAAAAGTTTCATTTTTGAGAGAAAATGATCCTATCCAGCCTCTTTATCAATCTTGTTCGAAATTTACGCTTTAATTTCCTCGAAAATCATAACTGTAGTTAGTATCGACTTTGGCCCTGTTCAAACCTACGCTGTCTTTGTCCATTTGTTTTCGTTGCCGCGTCAATATCATAACTGAAACAAAAAGTTTTTCTTGAAAACACATGCATTTGAAAACTCTCTCCAGAGTTCATGGAGATATCTTAAAACGAAGCCCAACCGTGTCAGTGTGAACGGCGAAAACATATGGAAAAGTTATTAGTGTGAACAAGGCCTTAGATTTTTCGCCTACACGCTTAACCAACACACAAGAAAATGCTAATATGCCTGAACTGTTCTGGTTAATTTTCAGATCATACGAGTGAATACCGCTTAAACGTGACGTATTCGAAAGTTCAATCAGAAAACAATCTTCCAGTTCTCTCATAATGGAGGACTGTGTTTTTAACGACGAAGGATTTGATGAAAGTGTCACCGAGGAAGCAAATTTTTTCGTCGCACCCGACCCTTACGATTGCACCTTGCAGATAAAGGTCCGATGGGGTGAGGCGAACTCCGTTAAAAAGCTCTATTCACCTTTCCTCGAAGGAATGGATCCTACTTTTCAATTTATTTCTATCAACGAAAGTGACGATGTGGATTCCACTCTGGATGAATCATGCATTGACGAAGATGATGAATCTCCGATTCTGCAATGTCAAGCAATAAACGTTGTGCTTTTTCTTCACGAAACATTTGGCCGTTTATCCGCCATAGATGTTCAAAGAAATTTCCATTTTCCTCCGTGGAAATTTCACCATCGGGTGGAATTGCCGTTGGATACCAAGCCCCGGGTAACTGCCAGTCAGGACTTCTACGAGACATTTCCTGGGTTTCCTTTGTGGTCCATATGCCCGGTTCATTACGGCAACGAACATTTGCGTTTTCATATTTTTACGAGAAACTTTCTTCAGATGAGGACATTTTACGAGATTTTAACAGGGAAGAAGGCAATCAGTGGCTCTCCTGGGTTTTGCTTCTTTACTTTATATTCTCAAAGTGGATTTGACGTTCAACTTTCACTGAAACACTTACCGCAAATTTGCCCCAAACCTTCGAAATCTGCGAGGTTAAAGTTGAAAATCAAGGACATTAGCACAATAATACCTCATTTGAAAGAACCCCCGGTTCAAACGGAGGGTACACTGTGGGTCGCCAGTGACCCTGATGGTAATGAACTCTTGATCGAGGAGACCGCACCCAGCCAAGGAAGGCGTAAGACAGGAAGACTACTGTCCAATAGTAGTCTGGAGACTTCTGACTACGAGACTGCGTCCATCGACACCGAAAGTTTGGCGGGAAGTATGAACTACTCACCGCAAGGAACTCTCAGTTCGAGCTTTTCAAAACGTTTAACGTTGTTATGAATTAAAGAAGATCTAATGATTAATGATGAGTCTACGAAGCTCGGAAGGTTCCCAGACCCGAGTTACAAAGTTAATCATAATTAACAGATAGCAAGTTCAGTGGCGGATCTAGATATGCCTCCTAACTCTCTCCCTTTCCAAAGCGAGAAAGCTCACTGTCTCCTCTTCTCTCCCCTATGTTTATCTCAGCTTACGCTTTGTGTAGTTTGAAATTATTCAGACTTAAAACTGAGGGACGAACAATGTAAATAGAGAACCTCACCGAAAAGTTGCAAAATTGAAATCAAAATTTTCGCTTACACTGGGTTAGATTAACCGGACTTTGAACAACTCGGCTCAGCTTTACATAAAAGAAAACAGAGAAAATAATGAGATCTTTTTTTGCTCTGGGAGTACAATTTCTTGGTGTGACGAAATATGAGTCTCAGAGAGATTACAGAGAACTTTTTCTTATATGTAGTAGAACCAATAATTTAAGATATTAAATATACTCGACGCGTTTACAGTTGAACAAGGATAAATATTTCGGTACATAGTGTGTGGAAACACCTAGATATGATTTGAGTATAATATTTCTATTCATTTTGATTTTAATACGTTATTTATTACACCGATTACTGATATATGTAAATTAGAGTATTTTATTAAAGAAAAGAGCATTTTATTCCTATAAATGTGAATCTTTGAGAACGGTAGTTCAAGCCGAGATTCTGATAGAAGCAGGTGGAATGGCCAATTCCCCCCATGAGGTGTGCCTGCAGGGAATCATGGTAGTTGCATTCAGCAAAAGAAATATCCAGTCTAAGGTGATGAATACAAATACCATGATTCCTTGCAGGCACATCTCATAGAGGTAATTGCCCATTGATGTCCCATCAATGGGCCATTGATGGGACATCACCCCCTATCATGGGGGGTGGTGGGGGGTGGTTGGGAAGGAAATAGTGAAAACGTAATGAATGGACGCAAACAAGGTAGTGATGAAGGGCCGATCTGAAAGTTCTGCAGAGCGGCCTAACGTGCGATCGTCGGAAATCACTTTGTGTTTTTGTTGTAATGTAAACCATGTTGACCAAACGTCATAATCTTACCATCCTCGTGTTGTTACCTTTGCTTGTCTTATGTCATTGATAAATGGGCTTGAAAAAATTCCTTTTTCAAAACAACACTTTATTATTGGCTCTTTGTTACCATACTCGCCGGACAGAAAAGCAGTGCTCTCGACTTAGTCGAGGGAAGTTGTTTAACATGATGCATACCTTATTAGTAATGATTACCTTGCAGCGTATTACATACGTTTTTTGGTTTTGGTTCTCGATGGTCTTCCAATCCTCGTCCAAATGCCATGCAAGTATGCATGCTTTGGCTTTGAACGTGCATTTTGCAAAGAATTATATCGACCTGCCAATACATACCTTCTATAGCTTCTCCGATTACACACCATAATGTACCTGTCCAGAGATTAATTGGACACAAATATGTCTGCATTTATGAAAACGGCGTAAACGGTGTGGAATCGCGCTCTGAAACTACTCCTCCAGTAGTTTTCCAGAGTTCAGTTCGGATGAAACACTTTGTTAGTCGCTAGAATAGGTCACTTCCGACATGTTAATATTCAGCTTGATAGTGGGGCCCAGAGAACACACACACACACAAAAAAAGAAATGAATAAATATGTCATTCAATTTCTTTTGTTTTTGTCCTCTAAGCCTAAATGCCAAACTGAATTTCAATATGTCGAAAATAGTCTGTTAAAAGGAGTTGCGTTCTCGCGTTTTGGCTGGTTCATTGGCCCCAGAATATTACAAACGGTTTTAACGAAAACTTCACCCAAGCATATTCCATATCTTCTCGACTGTAGAAGATGTAAAAATTCTTTTCTCCACTCTCTTATCTTCCTTATTTTGAGTCTCACTTGCATTCTTACTAATCCTCTTCATCCCGGCTGGGACATAAGGTCACAATCATACCCTACCGCTGACCCCTGACCAGTGCTTTGGCTTGTGCTTTGCCCCTTGAGAGACCCATCTCTTTCAGTTCCTTCATCACCGTCCTCCGCCAATGGTCCTTGGCCTGCCTCTCTCTCTCCTCCCAGTTGAAGTCCATCAGTCAAGGAAGCTTTCGCTATCCTATCATTGGGCATCTTCAGTACATGACCAAGCCTTCGTGACCAGCGATTTGAGTTTTGCTCTTGTCTTATCGCTTATAGTGATTTTTAGACCTTTAGATGTTGTAAAATGAAAGTATGGCTCACTTGGAAGAAAGTAACGCTTTTTTATTAACACCGTTTTCATAAATCCAGCTATAAATAGACTAGTCATATATGCACTGAAACTTGACGTATTGAGAAGATGGTTGACGCGTATTAATTACAAATAATAACCGATAGCTTCAGTTTCATTTTCAAATCCAGCTTCATCCAATGAGTTGAGCCCGAAAATTGCTGCTGTATTGTCTAAATTACCAAGGAAAGACCTCATCAACATGCAAATCAAGTTTATTATCGCCTTAAAACAAAGCCTTTTTGAATGATCTTTCAATTTTTAAGAATAACAATTATCTAAGGATGGTAACATCGACGGTGAAATGAAAACCCTTAAACAAACTTTATTTAGATTAAGTAAGGATTAAAGATAATTCTCGGTAATAAGTTTAAATTATTTGGCTTGGTCCTGGGTAGAGATGAAACTGTTCTATACATGAGAAGTTTTAAATATTGCTTGGAATATCCATATTGTCATCCTGTCTCCGTAAAGTCTATTGCTCGTCTTTAATTATTAATAATGGCAACCGAAAGTATATTCTCTTTAATGCACTCACTCACTGATTGGTTCTGATTACATCAATTTCCTCGTCATAAAGACAATGGATCAAGTTTCTTGGCAAATGTCCACGAGTTTATGAATATACTGTTCAATAATCATTATTATTTTTCGCCATCTCGGTTTTTTTCAATTGAAAAAGCGTTTTGAGCACAGTACGTTTATCAAGAGTAGCATCCCATGGATAATTTGTGAATTAGTGAATTATTCAAGCCTTGAAGTTTTTTAATTGTTTGAAAACTTTGCATCCACCTGCCGTTATTTTCGCGTTCCCTTGTCAACGTCGCTCTCTAACGAGAAAAGTTACTGTAAACATGCCAGCGAGGTTCGTATCTTCTTCACAAATCTAATTTCGAGTCAAGTCATGAACAGTAGTCCCCAAAGGAAGAAAAAACTGTAAGCGGAACAAATAACCAGTGAAAAATATAAATGGAGGTTATTTCACTTGATATGGAAAGAGATTCGGATGACATGCCAAGAACTCGTTCTTTCTACAGACCGACCAAGGATGACTTCAACAGGATACTTGCTCGATTGAAATCACAAGAAGACGAAAGAACGCTGGAAGTTTCTCCAACTACTTTAGACGATGGCAATGAAACAAAACAGGAGAAAGAGGAAAGGCTTAGACAAGAAGCCTTGCAAAGGGATCAATACATCTTATCTATGCGACCAAACCGACATGTTGTTTTTGCAGCAAAATTCGCCAAAATAAAAAACCGGGGTCTGACCAAGCGCTTTGAGAGACAGGTGCATATTTGGAACCAAGAAATGGAACGAAATTTTCGATTTGTGGGTGCCAACGAGAGAGCATTAGAGAAAGAACAGCGACAACGGAGAGCTAGAAGAGAAAAGTATATCATTCCTCGCTTGCACGCAAAGGAAAAAAACGAAAAACACGGAGGTCATGTAAAGAGGCACAGTGTAAAACTGCCTAAACTTGAAAAGTACAAAGAAATAGAACACCGAGGAAACCGTGCGAGCGACGCTGGACAAAAGTTTTTGAAGTATAATGGACGAGCAAAACCTGAAGAAATCGGACTTAGCAATACTTCCGTTAGACTTCCTCCTATTAAGAAAAAGCAAACTAGCGATATTGACTGACTGTCGACTAAACAGCTGGCGTGTTTCGCGCCGGTACTGTCATGACGTGTTTTTCATTTCCCGCCAAAATATCTGCCGTTACGTCGCAGTGAGAATAACATGGGAAAGGAAGGCTCTCCTCGCAGGTCCAACATGGCTTCGCAACGTGAATTCTTAGCTAGATTTTCTAGTGCATATTTATTCCTTTAGTATTGATTACCTGCCGTTTACAGACATCAACAATGCAAATTTAACGACATGATCGTTAAAATTATCATAGCAAATTTGAATACTGCAACTGTTTCTGAATTAGTTATTTCTCCTCTCCCTGAGTCGTATTAGACGGACACATCTTCGCTCTATTACAATGGTATCCGTCGCGTACCTTCTCATGTTATTAGACATTGTGTTAAGCTGTGAGATGTTAGCTACTAACTGTTAGCTGGTGGCTGTTAACTGTTGGCTGCTAGCTGTTAACCCAGTTCGTGAAAAGAATTCAGTTCTTTCGAGATGTTTGTCTGTAAGAATCATTTTCCTGTGACGAGAGCCGAACGTGGGAGCGACTATACCTCCTCTCCCAACAACTGGATGAATGTCTGTAGAAATGAGGCTTGGAAGTAAGACATGGAAGTGTGTCAGGGTAGCACTGATAACGATTTAACCGACCCTGCACAATGATAAACTTCGGCAGCTGGAGAAAGGAAGCTAATCAGAATTCGAAACTGCCAGATCCCGGAACTCTATAGGAAACAATTCTGCACTTTCTGAGTTTAAAAGAGCAACTTCGACGGTTTAGCCGAATAAATTTTGGAAACGAGTATTTCGAAAATTTCTGCTCCTTTCGATTTTTCTCCAGAATTTTCGGAAATTTTGGTCCGATGGAAAGTGTCTTAAGTCTAAGAAATTGTGCTTTCCGATTTTTTTTTTTTTTTCGAGAAAGAGAGAGAGACGGCAGACCTAATAAGACAAACAAGGTAAAGCTGAATGAAAAGCATGTTCTGGGGCCCGTTTCTCGAAGGCCCCGAAAAGTTTTCGCACCCGGAAAGCCATAGCAAAATCTCGAACCTTACGATTACGGGGCTGTTTTATTCACCTAATTCTCAATATGAAGAGAGGTTTCCTTCACACAAGAAGTTTCAGGCGCATACACTTCTCCGTTTTTAGATACAGATGAACTAAAAATCGCTTTACGGGCCTGAAAAGTTTCCGGGGTTTTCGAGAAACGGGTCACTGATCCGTTCTATACATAGACCTTCATGGGAACCGAAACAAGCTGAAATCAATGGTTGAATTAACCCGTAGTAAAAATTATACCATTAGTATTTAACACTCTTGTGACGCAAAACGCAAACAGCACCCTTTGCATATTTAAACCATTTTCCTTTTTCCAAGCATGCAGATGTAAAAAATCCTCTCTATAGTCTTTCGTATTTTTAACAGAACGTCTTAAATGTTTTGCAATCGTTTGTACGGTTAAAAATTGAAAGTAAAATCGCATAACGTAACTATAAATATGTTTTGTAAAAAGCTGTTTTACGACCCGTAGAATAAAATTGCTGTATTTAAAAGTGTGCCTCTCATTGTTATTTGATATCTTAAAACGTTGGTTGCTTGCCTGACTGACGTTATATTTTAAGTGTTCTAGAAGGCGAGCACAAAATACATTTGTTCTTGTGCGCGTTGCCTGTTATTGTCACTGGTATTATTTAGAAAGTGTTTGTTTTCGTCAGCTTTTGGCAATCATGCACTTTTAAGCTCTAAACACTATCCTTCCTGAATCGTTTCTATTTCTATCTTTAATCTTAAAAGCCCTTGAAACCGTGCGATTGCACAGTTTCGAAGGTACCATTTGCCCGTCTGCTATTTTACATGGAAAATCATTCACGATTGTCTCTCTGTCGAGCGGATTGAAATGATAGCCAAATCCCCAATGGCTGTTTGCCTCTGGCAACATCTTAACCAAAGATTTTTCTTAACCCAGCTCGCTCATTTTAACCGAAACAAAGCATGAGTACAAAAGCAGATGGCGGGTTGCTAGTCTTTCGCAAGGCACAATTAAGTAGCTTGTATTGTTTCCTCTTTTTTGTTCTCCAAGGCACCAGGGAATTAAATACCCGGCCGTATTTCTACTGTTCTCTAACAGGATCGCAACTTGCAAGCATTTTTGAGGACGCGTGTAACACTCAGAGCAGAGTTGAAAAGTATTTCAACGCTCGGACTATTAAACTTTCTTTTATTGAAGGGGCGTTAATTTTAACCTGACACTTAAGACAAGATGACTGCAGCAAAGAGTACATTTCAATTTCTCGCTGATTGCCCTCATTCATTTGATTTCTTCGCAGTGTTTCTTAGCACCGTTACCGGTATAAACTTTTCTCAGTCATCTCCTCCATGGGCGCGTGAGCCCCATATTTGGATTACTAACTGTTTGCCCAACGACCTAGCATTTGAAATATGGACTAACTAAGCTCATTGAGGGGAGCCGCGGTGGC